GTTTAAATGAACCCAAAACATGATGTGTGTTATTGGTTCTTAGGGCCAAGCTAAACATTAACGTAACATTAACATTAAACAACTGACCAATCTCTTTAAACGCATGTCTGCTCCAATTGCATAGAAAGCCAAAGCAGTCAATATCACCAATCTAAATCTTCAATACAAAGACCATACAGTTCCCATATATGTACTCTCTCTGCTAATAATTCCAGTTTTAATACTGTTATGATTCAATATGCTGTTATCTAAACATGCAACGTATGATCGAACTCCATTCTATAATGGATACCACATTTCTTATCCAAAGATAGGCAGAGAAAATACCCAAGATGCAATGATGGTCCTTCTATATCCTCCCCTTACCGTCTGGCTCTGCCCGTCAATCGGTCCTTTCCTCTGGCTTTACTGCTCATTACTGGCAATGTTCTGGGAGCAGACTCACTGGTGCCCATTCTGTGTGGTCCTCCACCTGAAAAACAGGGCATATGCAGAACTGGAATCTAGCCAGCATCAGTCTAGATCCAAGAGGCCTATCTTAGAGCTTTGAGCTCTGTGTTTGAAGCAAGGCCCGGTAGCAATAAGGGCCTGTCAGGGAGGCTGATTATCTTATTCATGTCTAGAACTGGGAGGCTCAATAAATCTCTAGAACACTAGAGAGACAAGGGCCACCCACATCCATATATTGTTGGATATTGTGCAGAATAGCAATCATTTGCAACAGTATTTTCCTACGTAGACAGAACAATCCAGATATAAGTTATCACTAGAGTGCAACATCCAATGATGGGAGGATGCAGCCAAGGAATTCTGCTGAAGAATATGAAATGTCAGTTTTCAGAGTCACATTAGGTGCCATTCTGTCAGCTCAACGGTAGTTCCTCCAACGGAGTGGCATTTCTCTTTGCAAAGGAATGGAAGGCAATATTTCTTCCTGCCCTCCCCTCCAGTCTCCTCTGCAGGCAGGCCCAATCAGGTCTCCTCTGGAGCAGAACCCTTAGGCTTGGGCATCAGTGAGAGCTGGAACACAGGCTTGTGTCTGGTGGACTGGTTGATCCAGCAAGCCTCCCCTTCCAGCCCAAGGCTTAAATAGGCTGAGATGACAGTAGCTCCACCTGCTCTGGAAGCAGCCTCTTGTCCAGGCTTCTTGCAAAGGATTATATCCACTATGATCTGGCCCAGGAGTAGGGTTGCCAGGTTTTACCTGGCTGCCAGCGGGGGGGGGGGGTCTTCTTCCTCTTTGGCAGATTTTCGATGAGTGTGCAAAGTGATGTCATCGCATAGGGCATGTTGTGGGTGGGGCCTCTATCATTTGAGGAAAAACATGTGCCCTGTGCAATGGTGTCACCTCTGGGTGATGTCATCGCACCGGGTACATTGGCCCGAACGTGGCACTTTGGGGGCACGGTTCCCCCTGCCGGCCAGATCCGGGCTGGCAGATCGGGGGCCCTAAAAGCAGGCAAACCCCCACCCGCCTGGGGGGAATGGTAAGCCTACCCAGGAGGTGGAGAACAGGCTGCAAGATGTCTTCACCGGGCTATCTTGGATTGAGCCCACTGATGAGCTTGTGGACTCAGTCCCAATCTGGCACTTAGTTGCCTTAGGACCTGGAGGGGGGGGGCAGAGGGAAACTCTGGTGCAGGGTCATCAACTGCAGACTCCTCAGGAGCTCGTTCTGGAGATGTGGACATGGGCATCTACCCTGCAGGGGTGCCTCAGAGTTTTCTGCTCTCCCCCAGGCCATGTTTCTGGCTCCTCAGGCTCCTCCTCAGAGACTTCCGGGTCAGAGTCCAGAGCCAGCTCAGTGTGGGTCATGACACTTCCTCCTGCTACAAACTCCCACCCTGCACTCCACAGCAGTATCTACCTTACTATTCTTTCTGTTTCTATTTTCACTGCATTTCTTGCCATTCAGCCTTCTGTTAGCCACCTTGAGTATTTGGCCTCTCTCACTTCACTGTCACAAATACCCCTCCTCAAATGTTGCCAGAAGGTGCAGGAAATAGTTAAAATGACAGTAATACAGCCATGGAAGAGAGATGCAACCCTAAACCTACAAATATATCTGCAATGACCAGCTGACAGGCTGAAAAAGTAAATGCTCCCCAGGGCCAGTATAAAGGGGATGCTAGGGTTGCCAGGCCCACACTGGGGGCAGGAGATTCCCTTTTCTGGGACCCCTTCCCCCAGCACCGACCAGCTGGCCAGCTGGCAGGAAAACTAGGCCAAGGCCTGCATAATTGGCAACACGACAATGTCACTTCTGGTGCATGGCAGAAGTGATGTCATCATGTTGCTGGTGACACTGGGATGTTCTGGTATTTGGGCAAAAACTCTACAGTAAAAATGACTTGTACCATAGCATTTTGCCCAGATACCACAGCATCCCCAGCAATGTTCCCTCTAAGCTGTGGAGTCTTGTGAGCAAAACTTCTACTCTGTGAGCTGCTGGCATTAAAGTTGTGAGCAAGTGATTTGGCTCCTGCATAAATTAGTTTGCTCTGGAGCCATCCCTCCTGAGCTGAGACAAAAATGTGTGAGCCAGAGGCTAAAAAACTGTGAGCTAGCTCACACTAACTCAGCTTAGAGGGAACACTGATCCCCAGCAAACCTACTGGTAAGTCACCCGTCACCCCCACCAGTTGCCAGGAATACCTGGAAGCCCTGCACGCTACTCTGGACGTGAAATCATCAGCAAAAATAATTGGGGCCAAAAAGTGCTCTCTTAGTAATGTGTTTGTGAATCTCTTGATAGTTGGTGTAATAAATCAGCTTTTACAATATAACTGAACTCAGCTAAAAGACTATTCCTGGGTCCTACTCACTTTTTCCTTCGGCTGGCAATGATCGGTGCTGGGACTTCCTGACATTTCTTGCAACTGAAAATACAAAGCATAAAAATTGGTAGTATTAATAGGATCCCCTGTTGCCCAACAGCATAGCATTGATTGCCTAATCAGACAGCACAAAAAAGATGTAACTTTAGGAAATGAGAGACTTGGTGGCTCCAACATCTGATGGCTGAAAATGCATGCATTTGTTTTAAGTGCACTGAGAAATTAGTTTGTATAATAGTAGTGAGCAATAAAAGTGAACAGCATGGTTCTGTATCTGTGCACAACTTTTCATAACATATTACCTTTATATCTGTTTGGCTCAAAGTTTGGAAATTATCCATGATTTCCTCAGTAATTTGTTCTAAGTATCATGTTTTCACATATCAACAGAAACTTTCTGAGACAGACTACAATAAAACTATTATTTTTATGCTTCCCAAATACATATTATCATGATGGTTAATGGGATTTCTATCATGCCATTCAATAAAAAGATGAGTCAGGGATGGCTCACAAGTAAAAATCAAAACAATGAAAAAGCTATGATATAAAAATTAAAAGCTTAGAACACTGTCTAATCCACCAACTGTAGCTGGCCTCAGTATGCAAAGTGGGTCTGAGTAGCAGGCTTCCCTCCCAGGCTGCGCAGGAAGGGGATGGAGGCTAATCTGATGGGGCCTCTTGCTGGGCAACTGGAAATAGATCCCAACAGTAGCCATGTGTCCCTTCCTTCTACCACTGTAGGGTGATCTGGGCGCCAAAGGACCCTGCCACTATGGCTGCTGCATCAAACCTTAACTCCCATGGGAGTGGTAAGTCTTGACATCTTTCTGTTGTCCCCTACACCTTGCCTACTAGTTGCAGAGCTCTTTAAAAGCCCTCCATCTATTTGCACCTGTAGTTCTGGACTCTGCAACTGGTGCTGAGCCAGAGGAGTTGCCAGTTGGGGAGGTCATTGCTAGGGACAGGCACGAACTGGCTGATGAACTAAAGTTTGTCACAAATTTTGCCCAGTTCGTGGTTCACAAAGTGACGTTCACCAACTGAAGAACCACCACAAACTTCCATGAGTTTTGATGCAGTTTGTGGCAGTTTGTGAAGAGCAGAAAGCAGGTTTTAAACAGCTTCAGTTTGTCACAAATTTTGCCCAGTTCGTGGTTCACAAAGTGACGTTCACCAACTGAAGAACCACCACAAACTTCCATGAGTTTTGATGCAGTTTGTGGCAGTTTGTGAAGAGCAGAAAGCAGGTTTTAAACAGCTGTTTTCTGCTCTCCACAGATTTTTGTGGGGAGCAGAAAGCAGGGATTTAAACTTTAAATGGCTCACAAACCAATATGAACCAGTTTGGTTTGCAAACCAGTGTACTGATTCGTAGTTCGGTTCATGGTTCAGCCACGAACCACAAACCGAACTGCAAAAGTGTGGTTCATGCTCATTCCTAGTCATTGCTGGTGCCCCCCAATACATTGTTGTGGAGTAGGCTCTAAAATGACATCTTGCCAGCTTTGGCAACTCTTTTCTTCCACTACCATAACTCCCAGTTCCACAGTTAACCAAGGAGTGAACAGGCTCTAGCTTGGGAGCCATCATTCCTGCAGTTGAGACCCTCTTCTCATGCTGAGGCCAGCCACAATTTATAGGTTAGACAGCCTTGTCAGGTAGAAACTCCCCAGAATTGTCAGAGAAGTCAATCGTATCTATCATACTCCAGGGGCAGATCATTTTAATAGTCCCCCACCTGGAGTGGTAGAAGGGATGCAATCCCCAATGCACTAAGTAGGGAATAAATCCCATTTAACACAGTGAAACTTACTTCTGATTAACCATTCATAGCATTGCACTGAATAGTCCACCTGAGCAGATAGTGATTTATCCGTGACAAGGAGAGAACTGCAAACTCCCCTGCCTCCAGATCGCTTCAGTCATGCCCAAAGCAGAGCACTGCCTCAAGCACATGTCCCAACAGCTGTGCCACTGGAGGGTCCTTCCTGGTGACCCTGTCTGCACAGGGCATTCTGGGGGATTCCTCAGAGGGATCCGGATCCAGATAAATGGAATCCAAATAACACAGTTATGCTTTAGTTCTCCTCCCTTTAAAAAAGGGAGGCGTTCCAAGTCACTGGTCACGGTGCTTTAAATCTGAGGTCACACAATGGAACCAGGATCGTCCTTTGCTGCTGTTTGCTGAAGCTACTTCTCTCTCCGCATTTGAAAGCTGTGGGCACAGGGCTCTGGTGGGTCACAACTCACTCCGAAGACATGAAGAAGTGACCTGGGAGTTATAATGGAGGTTTTGTCTCCATTAGCTGTTTTTATGTTCTGGCTGGGTTTTTAACGTTGGGGTTTTAATGTTTAGGGTTTTTTTAAAAATCAAGTTTAATTTTGTCAGGCACCTCAAGCAGGTTCTTTGGAAAGGTGGCATAAAACTTTCCCAAACAAATAAGTCCAAATGACTTCTGGAATTATCACTTCTGGACTTTCATCACAGGTTAGTCTTCTCTGAAGATAAATTGCTGTATTGTTATTCCCCTACAAACATATATCTTGAAGCAGATGATGTTTGAAAGATACTTTCCACAAAAACAAAACTAAAGCAAAACTACAACGTTTTTAGCATTCTGACAGAACGAACCAAAGCAAAAAAGTGCAGAGATTTGTGTTCTTTCACAAGTGACAGAAACATATTTAGGTTTAATCGGGCCTTTACTGACCTTTCTTACTGTGGACATAATCCAAAGCTAGTTCCCCATCCTTAGTATCTTCAAACCTGCAAGTGAAAAAAGGCCATTGCAGGTAATCATAGAATCATAAAATTGGAAGGTACCTCCAAGGTCCTCTAGTCCAACCCCCAAATGACTGAAAAACTTTACTGAAAAATAATCTGTCAAAAAAATCTGTCCATGTTTACTTTCACACTACGGGCCAATAGACATAATGGTGGCATTTACAATATAGGAAGTGAGCTGAAATGGAAGAAAAATGCTTCAAGCAACAGAGCATGTACAAGTAAGGTGAGGGAAAGGGCACGGTTTAGGTCACCTCACCTCACCTGCACACATAATTTCCACTAAAAAACAGAGGCCACCCTATTTTACACATGAAGGCATAAATATATGAATAAATACATATCGATTCCCTGTTGCATCTAGTTTGGTCCTAAAACATTTACTCAAATATGAATCAGCATACACCTCCATAGGGCTAGCAATGGGCTACCCTGTAAAAATTCTCTACGAATTGTATGCAGTGAACTAAAAGCCTATTCTCCTGTGCCTTTAGAATCTTCCTCCTTGCAAAACAAACAAACCAACCTTGTAGCCATCATATTTTTCTTAGTTTGCTAGGAAATCATGCTGTAAGAAGAGCCCTGCTAAATCCAGCCAAGGGTCCATATGGTCCAGCATCCTCTCTCCAATAACTGCAACTAGAGGCTTCTTGGAAGCTTATAATGATTCCAGGTATAAAGGCAACAGCCCTGCCTTTTCATATGTTCCCAGCAAGTGGCTCTCAGAAGCAGGTTGCCTCTGAATAGTAAAGCTCAATTTACCTATTATTGCTAATCATCCTGACTTTATATAATCCATTTAAAAATCCATAAAAGAAAGGACTATCATCCCATCTTGTAGGTTTGAATTTCATAAGTTAATTTTGTGTTGTGTGAAAAAGCTGGCCCGGGACCTACTTTCATTGGATTGTCCCAAAATCTAGTAGTATGAATCTAGGCAAGATGCCTCATTACTCTGAGTGTCTCTAATTGAGTTATCTGATACAGAATAATCCCTTTAGAATCACTTGGAATGTTTGCAAGGTATTCACTAATAGAACAGGATAATCAACTAGACTGGCTCTTGGCCAGCAGGAAAGTAGTCATAAACCCAGTGCATATGTGCCAGGAGGGAGAACAGAAGAAAGCCCACTGGCCCTGTCCCAGGCCTGTAGCCGCAGTGATGCACAAAGAGGCGGGGCTCCACCAATAATTTGTAACGCCCCTCCAATCAGCACTAGGGGTTGTTGTGAAATCTGTCACAGGTCTTCTGGCAATGAGAGAGGGCGTTTCCTTCCCACCTCCCTTCCAGGCTTTGCCAATGAGGGACAGATTCTCCTTCCCTCCTCCTGCCTCCCTCCCAGGCTTTGCCAATGAGGGAGAGAGTCTCTTTCCTCCCTCCCAGGCTTTCCCTTTGCACTTTGTTCATCAGTGAGGGGGAAATGAAGGTAGGTTGATGCTTGGCTGGGAAGGAGATAGGGTTGCCAACTCCAGGTGGGAAATTCCTGGAGATTTGAGAGATGGAGCCTGGAGAGGGTGAGGTTTGAGGAGGAGTGGGGCCTCTGACAGGTACAATGCCATAGACTCTGCCCTCCAAACCAGCCATTCCCTCATGGGGAACCACTGTTGCTAATCTCCAGGTGGGGGCTGGAGATCACTCAGAATTACAACTGCTCTCCAGATGGAATTGATCCGTTCCCCTGGAGAAAATGGTGGACTCTGTGTCCTTATACCCTGCTGAGGTTGCCATGGCAAATTGATGCTGAGTGCCCACAGCCTTGGCACTTTCCCAGAGCCTCTTTCTAGCACTCATTGTATTTATTTCCACAATGGGCCTTATTCCTAGTCAACTATAATACCATAGAGTCTATCCTCTGAAGTACCCATTTTCTTCAGGGGAAGTGATCTCTCTAGTGTGGTGGTCACGTTATTTTGGGAGATCTTCAAGCCCCACCTGGAGGTTGGCAACCCTATTTCATTCCAGCCTGAGTGCCTGTAGCTATCATTATTTAGGTTTAATGTTACCACAGTCTCTTTCAGCCTATTTTGATTTCCTGACAGTTCCACGCTATGGACAATTATTTATGCTGGCTAGATTGAATGCTATTCCATCAGGGGAGCTATCGGGATGCTTAAATAAGGTGCCTTACTCTGAGCAACTGTGCCAAGGTAGTTCTAGCCAAATAGACACCCTTCAACATTGTCTATTTGACTGTGATTTGCCTAACGATGCAAGAGACAACCCTATACCCAGGACTTGTGGGGCTATCATGTGCACAATACTATAATGTCTACATTTCTAAGGGGGACTTTTCTGAACATCTCAAGATGCCTCCTTCCCCTATCAGTAGTGCACACCCATGTATTATAATAGATCCTCTGTGGGTCATTGAATTTGAGTCATCTGTTGATGCAGAGACACTGGTGTATCATCTTCCCTCTCTAGCAATCACAAGTCACATAAAACTGGCATGAACACAACCCCAAGAGTATAAGCAGATATATTGCTTCCCATCAGTGGTCTGCTTCCCACTAGGATATTGTTCCTACTATTGACCTCTTTGCAGGCTTCAGCATTCAGAGTGTACTAAGGTGGAGGTGACTTACAGGCGCTCTGATTTTTCTATGTCCCAAGCCCGTCGCCATTCTCCCCTCGCATTCTTGTGACGTGCCAGTCGCTCAAGGTCAATCTGATCCCGCTCCTTCTTCCACTGCGTATATTCTGACCTCTCTCTTCCATACAGGGAACAACCCTTGTCTCCTGGAGTCTTCTGGGGAGATTTCCCTCTCTCCTAAATGAACAAAAGGGTGACTAATAATGCAGTAGAACCTCCTGGACACCCAGTGTTTCAAGATAACAACTGCAGCACTGCAGCGACTCTTAACCTCTGTTGGACTGCAGACAACTGTTCTGGTTTGCTCGCTCTTTGCAGACCACTGGCCACTTCTTATGTTATGGCCACCCTATCACATGATTGGAGGCTGACTGAATGGCCTCCAAATTAACATTTCTGCACTCAAATGCAACTATACTGGAAACACAAGGTGAAATGGGAATGAAAGCACTCCAAGGTAACTAGACTTGCTCATGTTCCATGTCACCTAGATCAGGGTCCCCAATCTCATTGATCCTGCGGGCACTTCTGAAATTTTGAGAAGAGTGTTACCACAAAATGACTGCCAAGGGGGCTGGAGCCAATCACAAGAGGTAGAGGAATAAACTAGGACTTCCTGCTTGCTCTGAAGTGTATAGGCCCCTCCTCTTTGGAATGGCCTGCCTGAGGACGTCAGGAATGTTCACACACTCTTGGCATTTCACAAACTATGTAAAACAGAATTCTTCAGGAGGGCATTTTTGTAAAAGAAACAGGGCTACACAACAACAGATTGGCCCAAGAAAATATACTGTATTACTACTGATGTAATAACATGTTCTGAAGAAGTGTGCATGTACACAAAAGCTTATACCCAGAATTAAATTTTGTTGGTCTTAAAGGTGCCACTGGACTCATACTTTGTTCATGTTCTGAACTGTTTTAACATGTCATGCTTAATGCCTATGCTTTGTTCAGACCACAGCTCCATTTCAAATTTCTGCAATTCCCAATCCCATTACATTCCTCACTAGATTGCACTGATTTACAGTGAGTCTCAATAAGACAGATGTACAATAAATAATATAAGTAAAATAAATAAATAAGAAGCAAATAGGCTTCAGGGAAACCACTGGTTAGTGCCTACCGTCTTTGGACACCACATTGGGAATCACTGACCTAGATGTTTGGCAGTTTAGAAGCAACATTCAGTTTCAGGCCCATTTCAGTTTTGCAGAGTGGTTTTCAAACTGGTCTTTGGCTGCGTCCATATAGGCCATGCGTGGTGGTGGGAAGTGCCACCAAGTCGCAGCTGACTTATGACAACCCTGCAGGGTTTCCAAGGCAAGAGACAAACAGAGGCGGTTTGCCATTGCCTACTTCTGGCTCATGGCCCTGGACTTCCTTGGTTGCCTCCCATCCAAAAACTATCCAGGGTTGATCCTATTTAACTCACAAGATCTGATAAAATTGGGCTAGCCCTGGGCCATCAGGTCAGGGCAAAAGAATTTAACTCTACAGAACAATTTTCTGTAGTACAGAACAATTACTTCAGGTGTGGTCTTGTGGACCACAGCTTGTGAATTGGTCACATATCCTTAGCCACCCTTTCCTTTCAGTCTTTTCTATTTTTCTTAAAATGTCAGCCAATCTTTGGCAGGGACCTGCCCATTTGAAAGCACTGTGCAGCACTTAGTCCACTGTCATGTTCTTAACAAATGGACAGTAACAATATAATGAAAAAGTGTCTCTGCACAAGTCCATCTTCCTCTGCTAAGTACACTGTGCAGACAGAGTAATGAACTCACAATTGCATAACTGGTCTCTTTGTGGTTTACAGAGATGGGTAAGTAATAATAAATTGTGAAATTTTAATTTACTGCTTAGACTCACTCCCTTATCTACTTTTTATGTATTCCCTATTGGCGATAAAGATCCCCTGCTTTAGAGAATTGAGGGCTATGAGTAATTTCCCATGTTGTGCAGTTATCATACAGTAGTTATTTTATTGAGCCCCAGAAGTTAGAGGCATGTTTGGGGGTACAGTGCCAATGTTTTGGGAAGTAAAAAATCTGGGGTGCTAAGCTACAATAGGAAAACAGATCTCTTCTAGCCTGAGGCATGGTCCACAAATGCAGGGGAATTAGGTTGTTGTTGTTCAGTCGCACGGTTGAGTCCGACTGTTCGTGACCCCATGGACCACATCATTCCAGGCCCTCCTGTCTTCCATCGTGCTCTGGAGTTTGCTTAATTTAGGGGAATTAGGTAGTGATGGAAAATAGTTTGAGTGTAGGGCAGTCACACGCTTAATGTCCCCTCACCCATAAAAAACGTCCTGTAAATCAAGTATCTGCACATCCGAAAGTAAGTGGCAATTTTCCACTTTCTGGAATTATTAATCTAGAGGAATTTAGAAAAATGTAATCATTTCAGGATGCATCACCTGCATGCAAAAAGTAGTATCAGAACTACTTCCTCTATGTAGGTACTTAGTGCTGAATTAATAAAACTCAGAGCACACCCTCTTAAATTGGTGAATGCTAATGGCTCAGTGCCAATCTGGCTTGCCCAGCTGTACAAATGATTTGCACAGCTAATTATTCAAGTGACTGAAGTAATAATATTATTATTATTATTATTAATAATAATAATAATAATAATCTGTTTTAAACTGTAGACTGTTCAAAGTGCTTCACACATACTATGAGAATCCTGCAAGGTAGGACAATACTATGATCCTCATATGGCAAATGGTAGACTGTCCTGTTCCAGCAACACTGGGTGGCTCAGGTTCTCCAGCCTGGAAGCCAGCTGCATTTTATTCAAGGGGGCTTCCTCCCAGGAAAGTTTCCTTAAGACTGTAGCCTTATCTGCAAGGAAGATCCAGCAAAGCGAGGGACTGCATCCAAGGCAGGGCAGCTGAGGGAAAAGATGCGATCCCGCGTGGGCAAGCAGCAGGTTCAGGTCAAGATTGCCAAAGCAGTAAAGGAGATATCAAGGCACACAATGGGAAGTTGCACTACAGAGACAGTGCAGCAGTCAGGTTCCAGGAACAGGTGGTGGAAAGTGTCATCAAGTCACAGCCGACTTATGGCAAACCCCCAATGGCAAGAGACAAACAGGAGTGGTTTTGCCATTGCCTGCCTCTGCATAGGAATCCTGGATTTCCTTGGTGGTCTCCCATCCAAATACTAACCAGGACTGACCCTGCTTAGCTTCTGAGATATGACAAGGTCAGGGCCCCAGGAACTCCTGAAGGGCTCTGTAGTTGGTCCTGCAGCACCTGCCCTTCTTCATGCATTAATGGAACTGATCCTGGTCATACTTGTCAGGAATTCACCCCCCCCCATTGAGTAAGATTATGTGGTCGAGCAAGTGGTCTGCCTTTTGGTGGTGTGGGCTTCAGGTCAGGCTCATTGCCTTCTCTGTGCTTGGGATCTAAGGGGTAATGGCCAGGGATTCCAAGCTGGGGGAGCCCCAGCAGGTTGCAGTGGGAGTAACACTAGCTTCCAACATTCAAAAGGACCCAGGAGTGCCGCTGTCCTAGTGGCTTTCCTAAAATGCCCCTCAGGGAATGTTCACTTCTCCTGCCTCTCCTCCAAGTAGTGCAAACTGGGGGACATGAGCCTTTTCAGTCATGCTCTGGGAAGTCATGAGAGAGAGTGGCTGTAGTAAGGCTGCCTCATGAAGTCATGGCTTGGAACGTCTTTGTTCACAGCTCAAGGTCTTAACCATTATATTACACTGGCTATCAGTATACATCAATCCACATAAAAGTGGGTGGGTGTGCCTGTGTAGCTAATCCTATAAGTGCAGGGTACTCAAAGCGTGCTGCAGAACCGTCATAAAGCTCGCAAGTGAAAGAATGCTCTTTGAGTAGGGAAGTGCTCGCTTGCAGTGCCAGGCGCCCTCCTGAGCTATTGTTCCCCCCTGTGTTGTAACACTGAGTGCTGGTCTTGCTTGAATATTTAAGATCTTAACAAATAAAAAAAGGCTGCTTAGGAAAAGGCGGCATTTGAGAGCGAATGCTTTCAACACAGCAAGAGTTTAGCACAGTCCACCAGAGGTGGGACCTCACCATCAATTCCCCAGTATCAAGTTAGACCCCTTAGTGGAAGGTTTTATATACAGCAAGTCCTATGACGTTTATTGTCTGTGGGTAATTCGCTGTTTCGTATTTCTCCCCTTCAAAGACAGCCACCCCCACCTTTCCCCCAAACAGAATTAATCTCCTTGGCATTTTGCTGCAGATCAAAATAGACTGGAGGAAAATTAGAGACTGAGAAACCTGTTACCAAGGTGACACACCTGTGTGGGTGGGCATAGGAGGAAAGGAACAACAAACCCTTTACTTCTGTACCACCAAAGGCAGTTGAGGCACCTGACAGGCCCATCCACATGTGGGTGGAGTAACAAAGGGTTAGTAGTCCCAGTGTGGGAGACCGGAAAAGCCCTACTGAGCTTTGGAGACCTTGGTTCCTCTTGCCTCAAAGACGTGCTGGTTCTAAGACACCCTCCAGCAGATTTGTTTCCACCCTCTTCCTAACCACTCCCCCTAACTACCCTCACCTCACCTGCCAGGTGTACGAGTCCAGTGCTAAAGAAGGCAGTGTAAGAAATAAGAGATATATTCATAACAGAAAAGCCCTGAGGGCAATGGACTATTATAGGTATGAAATACATGAATGATGGGTGAAATGCCAGGTACCTAGAACTTAACTATTAAATTAAAAAGAAGAGGAAATTAATATTTCCTATTTCCTAGTTTATTACAAAGCATCCCAAATGTGGGCATTTCTTATTGGTTGTTGAACTCAAGGGAGATTTGGCCAGAAGAAGAGAATCCTTTAAATTCATTTTTATAGCTTAAGAAGAGACACAGAACCCACCCACCCTCCATGTTGAGAACAATCCTGTAACATAATCTTTATTAAATACATGGAATATGGCGCAAATGAAAATTTGTTCTGATAAATCTCCATTTATATCAGTTATTTGTAATACTATCCCTAAACAAAAAGAATCTTGCTACTGTTTCAATTGTATGGATTTTATAATAACAACTTTAAAGATGTTTCAAAATATTGATTTTTTTTTAAAGTAAGAAAATTGTGTGAGAATTGGAGGCACTGATCCCTGTTCTATCAATATTACTTGACGGAGATATGTGATAATGAAACAGGTTAGTGGAAAAATTA